AATTGATTCCTTTGTGTTACATATGTATATGTGTGTGTGTGTATATATATGAATGTATTTTTAAACTTTGTTAACAAGAATTCTGTTCTTTGGAAAATAAAGTTCTCTCTCTCTCTCTCTCTCTCTCTCTGAATAAATGTGAATTGTTATGCATGCGTTTAATATTTATACTGATCGTGAATAACGATTTAATGAAGAAGGTAATCAAGCATTACGATAGTTTGATAGGTTTTTATTGCTGATTTTGTAATTTTTGTAGCTGCTCCTTCAACTGGAACCGGAAACCCACAGCATTTGTCATACACGATATGAAAATTACCATGAATACCGTAGGGGCTACCTCTTTTCAAAGGCGAATCCAACTCTCTATTTCACTAATATGATCTGCCCGTTAGAATTTTTCCGTTAACCAAGCGTCGCACTCCCACGAATGACAACCCTCAGAAGTCGACCCAGACCTAACGACATTTCACCTTTCAACGTGCGATTTCTTGGACCATAAGCATTGACAATCGATCGTCCGGCTGCAGGGCTCGAATCATCGTTCCGCATCACGACAACTCCACCGGCAACCGTATCATAAAAGAATGTCTTTTGGTGATTTTCGTACTGAAATTTCTTTCTTGGATAAAATGTTCTACTCACCTTGCGTAGTAAGGGTACGATACCGCCATATTGTAGCTATAAATCAAGCAAAAAGTAACCGACCAAAAAAATGCCATGACCCATATTATCATCTTTGGTCCGATATCATACTTGAACATCAAGTAGAACATCATTAACGAAATAATATACATCTGGAAATCATTCGTCAGATACCAAAGTCCCATGTTGCACTGAAAGTGAACCTCAAATTAATTTCTGCGAATATTAAGTATTGACAAGAAGAAAACAATTGTTTAATGAATGTTAATGTTGATTTATCGGTTGCTTTTCCTAGAATAGATGATTATTTGATAAAATAATAATTATACTACCCATGATGATAATTAAAACAATTTTCACCATTTTTTTAATTTTAGACGAATTTTGCTCACATTGTAGCTTCATTGGTAGTGATAAATTAAATTTTCATTATTTCGGATTAAGTTTCGGTGTTAGCAAAACGTCTAAAACATCAGATCATTAATAAATAATATCAATAATAAAACGTCTTTATTCACCTAATTTAACAACATTATATTGTGGAGATAGGTAGGATGCCTTGCAATGGTTTCCGTCATCATTTCGCAGAATTATGTTCTTCGATTAGGGTCATCTTCAGTTAATTGCTGTACCATTTTAATTTTGTTTGGATGATAAATATTCCTCTTCAAAAGTCTCCACACAGTAGAATGAAACACCTCACAAACATTCGCGACGGAATAAGTAGACTGTTCAGGATTTACTACCATCTCACCATTTATTTGCACTTGCTTTTCTTCCGGAATGGACGGATGACATGGGAGCTTTTTGTTATGTACACTACCGGTGGTTGTGAATTTGGATACAAGTTCCCTCAAATACTTTTTTTACAGATAGGACGATTCGGTAAACGTTCATTGTCGTTACGCGTCGCTTCAATTTTTTTCCAATGGACGAGAACTGACCATTTTAAAGATTGTTGACGTGGTACCTTTCTACTAGTAAAACTGAAAACTAAATGAGAATATTCTAACTGAACAATAGGTTTGTTTTGGTTCTGTATATCGAACTGTTATTGAACCGTCCCGTATCGACGCCGAATCAATGCGGAGAACATTACAGTCACAGAACAGTTCTGGAACGGTCCCAACAAGTAAAAAACCAAAACATATAAAAAAAGTATTCTGACAAGTGTATAAACAAAGATTGGAGGTTAGGTACCTCTACTCTGGTATAACAATCATTGGACTTTGGAGTTAAGTTTAAAGACAAGAGTGAAAAAGTTAGGCAAATATATAATTAAAGTGTGATGATGTTTTTGAAAAAATGAGAGTAACAGAAATTAACTAAGACGTTATCTCCGGTTATCCAAAATAAAATTGAAAATATATTGTCCTCTCTTTGTAATCTTATACTAATGAGTTTGACAAAAACATGCCAAGAATAAATTTTTGGAATTGTGAAAGATGTGATAATAATAATGCTTATTATTATTATTGCTACATACATTTCACGACTATCTGTTATGGTATGAGAATAATGTTGATATATAATTTTGTCTTATTTACAGGTCACAATGAACTCTCCGAGTTTCTTTGTTTTACCGGACACAAACAATACTGTAGATAAAATACCAAATGAAACACCAACTGAAATACGGATAAAAATGAGATTAAGAAAACGTTACTACCAAAATCCACAACGCAAATGAAAAGTTTTTTTAGTTTGCAAGAGCAAATTCCAAGTTCTAAACGGTCCCTACNGTCCCTACTCAAATGTACGAACTAATAATTACCGTTCTGGAATAGTTCCGAATCGGTTCGGAGAAAACCAAAACACTTTGTGAACGATACTAGAACGGTTCTTTTTGATAACTGCGCATGATCGAACTGTCCAGAATTGTGAACCAAAACAAACCTAATGATTTTCATTGTCGTACTGACATTTTTTGACGTTGTTATAAACAAAAAACAACTTTACAAACCTTATCGGGTTGTTGGAATTGCCATATGCCAGATAAAAAGGAATCTTTTTAGAAATATCGATATTAATGTTTTCGTCTTCAGGAAATTATTAAATGTTCCGCCGTATTGTAGTAGGTGAATATATTGACCTCATATTCTAGGGTTGTAGAGTATTCGTCAGGAGCTTCAAAATGATGTGTCACAAGACCCCCCTTTCTATTCAATTTTTTCCCAAATGGCGCCCAGTCGCCATCTTGGAAGTTTTGTCTGTCAATTTTACTTCAAAATAAAGTATTCATGCATTGATTTTATTATCCCAGATTTCAATTTTTTGAGCTGACCCGTTCAAAAAATAAAAGGGAGGCGGCATTACAGAAATACACTGTATGTTCAAAATTTTCATTGTGAAGTCCGTGTTGAACTGCGTCTGGTGTTTTCAGTTGTTTGACGTTTCGGCTTCGACTTTGGAGCCATTATCAAGAAGGTATGACTACACTGAGGTCTCAATCTGCCTACTCCTCAGTTAGTGATATGCTTTAAGTGTTTGTGATATGACGCTGGGGTCTCAATCTACCTACTCTGGTCTCCGCAAGGGTCTCAGTCTGCCAACTACCAAGTATCGACTGTGACTCCAGGCGGCGATCATCTTAATTTCAGGCGAGTTTTGAATATTGAACCCCTGACTCTTTCATCGTGATTTATTATATGGATCTGTATATTTTTGGAGCGCGGCCGAGATTTCTCTCGCCGCCTGGGGTGTCCCTCTTAGCAAGGGACTTTTCTTTGTGAATAGCATTCACGTGGCCTCGAGATTGCTGTAATCTCAGCCCGTGGCGAGGTCTTTGAGGTGTTCAGTTTGTCTTAGCTGGAGGGGTGTTGACCGTCAACATAGTTTGTAGAACGGGGAAGCACGTCAGCAGGGCCTGTAGCTTGTCAAAGGCCGTGCACAGGCCGTCAATCGAGCTGGGGTCACTGCTGTTTGTAGTTTTAACGGCTCTCGCGTATGAGACTCTGTTTTTAATTAGATTTGTTTCTGTCGGCCTTTTTGTTCGGGCTGGCGGGTCTTTGGCTTTGGTGTTGGCCTTGGTTCTTAGGATGCTCCGGGCATTCTTGGTAGTTAGCTGGGTAGTCCCCTTTGCAGTTAAAGCATTAAGCTGGAGCTTGTTTTGGTTTTTTACAATCAGCCGTCATGTGGCGGCCGGCGCATCTTAAGCATGCTGGGATTGCTTTGCAGTTTTTCTGCGAGGTCCCAAATTTCTGACAGTGGTAGCATTGCCCCACTGTTTTCTTCGGTCTTTGAGGTTCGCTCTTCACTCTGACATTTAGAATTTCCCTGACATCGTATATATGGTTCTGCTTCCTGGAGACTAGAACCAATACTAGCGGGAGTGGCTGTTTGTCTTGTTTCCTCAGCCTGGCTACTGATATAGTGTCGAAGCCTTTGGCTAGCGGGTTGGACTTTTACTCCGTCGTTGGTGTTTACCGCTTTCGTGAATTTTATATTCTGCCTTGCGGCTATTTCATTAAACTTGGTCCACTTATCTTTTCGTTTTATTGTGATAGGTGGTGGTCTGATTGTTTTAGGGCCAGTTGCCTGTGCTGTATCGTAGGCATCGCAGCCGCTTCGTCTTGTATTTCAGTTTCCAGTTCTTCAGATGGAAGGTTTTCGTCGGGTTCCTGAGGTTTTGGAGGCTCATTGGATATCTGATTTTCTTGGCGGGATTTCCATCTTTTCTATTCTTCGTTTGTAGTTGTTTTGTGGGAGATTCTGTCTCCGCTGGGCGTTTTTTATTAAGGGTCGCCTCTTCTTCCAGGCTTTCTTCAGAGGAATAGCCTGACTATCATCTGGTGATTCATAACCGCAGGCTCTTTTTTGTTCAAGTTTCTGCCATTTTATACGCATTAATATGTGCGTGGAAACGAATTCTTGTGGGGCGACTTCGTATGAGTCTAATAACTTAGATATCATGGCTAAAACCATGTCTCTTTTTTCTCTACTAGCGTTGACGACAAACGTGTCAATGACTTCGTCCATTTTAGCATGTTACTTCTTCGAATGCTCGAGAACAACTATTCGACTCATGTGATTGTTAGTCCACAGGCTCTGGTCTGGTATTTATTTCTCTAGACGAGTGGAGGGTCGGACCGGAAGAGGGATGTAACTTGTAAAAGCAAGGTGTACACCTTGCAGGTCGACCCACAGTCGATGTTTGGTAGAAGGTAGATCGAGACCCTTACTGAGACCAACGACGAGAACTGTGGGGTGGGCAGATTAAAAAAATATTTCAAAAAAGTTCAAATTGTAGCACACCAAGATTTCTATCTGCCCAATTTTTTATTTCGAGTGCACAGTTCCCTCATCAGCACCGTTTTGGATGACATCACGAGATAGAGCATGCATTTCTATCGTGTCATTACGACTTTGTCAGTGGAAGAGCCAACTTTTTTTTTGCCATGAATGGCAGGAAGTATACACATTCAAACGAATGTATAATTTGATATAAACCATAGAAATTTCATTAAAATTGAAAGGGGGATGTAAAACAAAACATTTGAAGAAAGGAAGGAAGAAACTACAATGAAAATTCTTCATGAAGTTATGTTGATTATGCACCTTCAAATGAATATGAAATTACACAAAACTCACTGTTTTTCGTTTTGTAATGTCATGCAAAATTATGCGGATGGGGTGATAAGTCTCGAAATTTCGAAGTACACCATTAGGCGTGATACTTTTCATGTTCACTCTTTATCTGAAAGAAACTTCATTGTAGTTATTTTCTTTTTCTTTCTTTGAGAGTTTTTGTTTGATGACGGAAAATGAAATATATTTTTTTCTGATCTCGAAATATTTCAACAAGAATATACTTCAAACGAAATGATTTTCTCACCATATCAGTTGATATGAAGATATTGTTGATTAGCAATATAGAAGCCCACCAATTCTTCTGGCAAGCAGCATGGTCCAGGTCAAAGGACTCCAATGGAGGTGGGGCTACTAACACTTTAGTCCAGTTGCTCATTTCGAGACAAATTATGAAAGCGAGCGTGGGAAATAACCTGAAAGTGAATTCGATGACAATACTATTCGTAATAGCAGATCAGAGATGCTTCAATGTAAGTTCAAAAAAAACTTTGGAATTTTTTCTCAGGAGAAATATTCGATTTCTTGAGAATAACGCAAAAAATTCCAACTGTGGTTGTATCTGTACAGTTTCTGAAGTGTTCTAGAAATTTTCAAATATATCACAACTCTTTGATTAGTCTAAGACTGTCAGTTTTTGCGTATTTAGTTGCTGATGGCAGAACTGATTTTTGTTTTTCTTAAAAATATTCATTATTGAAACAAAAAATAAAGGTAATTGTTTTCAAACTGACCTTACATATCTCATGGCAATTTTCTTGACTATGAATTGAAATTTCACTTCTCCGCTTTTATCAACTTCGTTGTAAATCATTTTCGCACTCAAAAATCCCGACAACATGAAGTTTATTTGCACCAAGAGAAGTCCTCCATTAACCACGGCTTTGGTTGTTAGATCCACATAAAACTGAAACATCATATTACACGGTAGTCAATGAAAAATTCAATGATCAATATATACAGTGTGTAAAAGCCAAATGGGATAAATCCATTATTTCGGTTACTGTACATATTTAAAAAAAATACCGAAACACGTCAAATGTAAATTATAATTTGACATTCTTCAACGTAAAAATGCCCTACCTTTAACCCCGTTCGAATGACAGGTACAACTCCCAATTTTTTAAATGAAAAGTGTAGGTTTGTGATATATTGTTTGAAAGGTCTCTTTATTATTTATTCAAAAATGTTATCGCTTTCAAGTTTATTGCAACCGAAATTCGATGAAATACACTAAGAAAACTAAAATGTAATGCAAAACGTAATGAAATACGAAAAAAAACGTTGGATTTCAACGAAGAAGATGTCAAAATGTTCACCGCGAACGTCTTGGCAACATCCTAATCTCAAATAAAACTGTCTTCTAACATTATTCAACATATCAGGCGTGACCGACCTAATCACAAGCGTTATTCGTTCTTTTGAGCCATTCAGATCTGAACGTTCAGTTTTGTACACATTGCGCTTCACATATCTCCATAAAAAGAAATTAAATGATGAAAAATCAGGTGATCGCGCTGGCCAATCCATCGATCCTCGCCTCCCTATCCACCGATTGGGACATGTTGTGTCGAGGTATTGCCGGACAATAACTTGCTGAAACCATATCATATTCACTGAAACTTGAGGGTTTCCTGGATCAGGATATAAATTTGCTAAACTTGGAATGAAATCAATTTGAAGTAGTGCCAAATAATTATCAAGTTGCCCTCAATGAAAAAGGGACCAATGATATGGTTTCCTACACTCCCTGTCTAAACGTTAACCTTTTGGATTGTGTGTGTGTTGTGTGTGTTCTTCTCTTATCTAGTGGGGATTTTCCGTTGACTAGTAGCGGCAATTTTGCCGATTAGTATGACAGTTTCGAGACAAATTACACTCATCAGAAAACATAACGTCGCCTAATTGGAGGATATTGTAATCCAACATGTCCATCATCTGCTTACAAAAATCAGTTCTTTCATCAAAATCTTCTTCCATGAGCTCCTGAGTAAGTATCATTTTATAGGGATGCATTTCATTTTCTTTTAATATGTTTACTATCGATGTATAGCAAACATTGAATGTGGTGGATGCCTGTCTACTCGATGTATGTAGGTTTTCCTTAAACTCAAGCATCACATCTAATTTGAGTTCATCACTCATTGCATTGGCAGCTGCTTTTTTTATCTGCCCTAAGCTCGCGAAACTGCTTTTCTTTTTTGCTCATTGTTTCTTGAGATATGGGCGGTAAATTCCTACGGGTTTTGTCTCCCTAACCAATCATTTGTAAAACTGTTATTTCGTGCAATTCTGTTAATCTAACCATTTGGCAGACTTGAAGTTAACAAACTTTAACCCAAAATTAAAATACTGACCACTGTTGTAAGATACAAAACAAGTTGACACGGCGTTTTAAACTAATGTTGAAGGATACCATCAATATGAATATTATCAATAGAATAGAATAGAATAGAATAGGATAGAATAGAATAGAATAGAATAGAATAGAATAGAATAGAATAGAATAGAATAGAATAGAATAGAATAGAATAGAATAGAACAGAACAGGACAGGACAGGACTGGACAGGACAGGACAGAACAGGACAGGACAGAAAAGAACAGAACAGAACAGAACAGAACAGAACAGAACAGAACAGAACAGAACAGAACAGAACAGAACAGAACAGAACAGAACAGAACAGAACAGAAAAGAACAGAACAGAACAGAACAGAATAGAACAGAACAGAACAGAACAGAATAGAATAGTTTATTGGCTACGTGATACATTTGAACAAATATTTGTAGCAAGACAAAACACAAAAATTTATAAATATGACGTCATATATACAAATAAAACTATCACAATGCTTGTATAACAGAACAGTCTACATAATAATAAGAACAATCAATCAACTAATGTTAAAAATGAGAACAATTGTTACTCACTCAAAGTCACATGAATTATCTATGTTGTATAACATGTATTCATCTGTAGAATAAAAACAGTGATTCAAAAAAATGATTTGAGTTTTTGCTTGAAACAGTAGAAACTGAGTTGTTTTATGTGACATGGTAACTTATTATAGAATTTCAAATTCAATGAATTATTTTGTGAGGTGCTCAGTCTGAATCTCTCAGTTCTTATCAGATTTTCTGATCTTGTAGGATATTCATGTTGTTACGATTGTAAAATGTATTTTGATTTATTTTTATGAATTTCAATCAATGCTTCATATACAAAAGCTGTAGAAAGCGGCATGATTTTGAGATGAATAAAAAGTAGGCGACAATGATCTTTAAAATTGGCATTACATATTAGACGTATAACTCTTTTTTGCAATATAAAATTTTTTTTGGAATGTCAAGAATCCCCCCACAACACTATGCCAAATACCATGTGACTATGGAAGAGTCCGAAGTACGAAGATTTGACCGCTCTGATACCGGCAAAATTCTTCAGTCTACGAATATTACATTTGATAATTTCTTGGCCAGTTTGTCAACATGACATGACCAGTTCAATCTGTCGTCTATATGAATCCCCAGTAGCTCAACCCTTTACCCGAGGTTAAATACGTATTTACCCGAGGTTAAATACGTATTTGTGGAAATTATAATACCTCAATACCTCAACATGAAATAAGTTTTGAGTATATTGCAATAAGTTTGAAGTGTATTTCATCGAATTTCGGTAACCACATGATTTTTATTTACTTTTTCTTGATTCTGGCAATAAATTTGTAAGCGATAACATTTTTGAATAGGGAATGAAGAGACCTTTCAAACGATATATCACAAGCCTATACTTCCCATTTAAAAATTGGGGGTTGTACCTATCATTCGACGGGTGTTGAAGGTAAGGGTAGCATTTTTCCGTTGAAGTATGTCAAATCATAATTTAAATTTGACGTATTTCGGTATTTTGTTGAAATATGTACCTTAACCGAAATTATGAATTTATTCTATTTGGCTTTTCACACTGTATATTACTGAAGTGTAACTGATCACTGTCTGTTCATGTGTTTGTCTGTGCATTTGTGTGCGCATATTCAAAAAATGGGTATATCAATTTTGATGCGGTTATAATTTAAAGAGTAATATCGATTCAAGGAATCACGTCATTCATTTAATTAAGAAAAAAAATACACAAATTATGTTTAGTTGATAGGGCCGAAACTTTGGTATAGTTTCTGGAACCATTAGCTCGTGAATCAAAGAAAGGCCAAAAAACAAAACAGAAATCCACTCGAAGGAAGTCGCTGGCAACAGCTAGTATATAATAAATTCTGAAGAAAAAATTAAACAGTTCATGGGCAACGTCAATTTGAAATTCAAATTTCTGACATCATCGACAAAACTGTTATAACTCTGATTCAAGTAAGACTTACGTTTTCTATATATTTCTCATCTTTCACGTAGGAAAAGAGCGCACTACTTAAGGTATGTCCAGTTATAACAAATGCCATGGTATATGTTCGTACTCCCTGCAGGCATTTCAATTTATTATATTCAGGATCATTTATGGGTTTTCTCAGATCGTTCCATTGCCTTCGGAGGGAGAAGTTGCTAAGGAAGTTATCACCTGCAATGATATTTTGAAATAGTCGAAATATGAATATCATAAATATTATTCCATTTGAAGTTTATGAACCGAATAGATTTTTCCATAGATATACAGAAAAATGAAAGACATAATTGGAACTTTGGCTTAGAAAGAATCCAACAGAAAAATTATCTTTCACACACTTCAAAACTGTGAGACTCTTCTTGAAGCCAAGTCGGCCTCATGAAAGTATGAACTATACAAATTCTCTTATACTGTTTTGAATAGGATCTTTCTCACTGTTCATAACTCGAAAGTTTCTAGTTGATCATTATTAATTTGGTTACTGTTCCAAAATTTCTTCAAGTGGACAAGCAGTTTTGAAATCTACTTCTATGTCCAGTTTACTGATAATCTAATTCTATTTGAGTATCCATGGAAGTTAGGTTAGGTTAGGTCTGAAATGGGTGGGTCAGTTCCACCCTCCACCGCAACCCGCAAGGGTTTATTGTTGCCCACGCCTATTCACACTCGGCCAGCTTCTTAACGAAGCCGATCAGTTGGTATGGCGAGTGGTCTTTCAGGTCAGATGGTAAGAGTACGACTCTGCCGAACTCTAAGAACCTGATTCGGTCCCCAGTGGGGCAGGCACAAAGTATATGCTCTGCTGTTTCATCATTTCCCAAACAGAGGCGACACACAAGTCCAACTCTCTGTTTGGGACAGTCCAAGTCTCTGCATTTGATGATTCAAATGACAGTGACCTGTAAGAAGGCCTGTGAGACATCGTAGTTCATCCCTACTGTAGTCCAACAACTGTTTGATATCAAGCTTCGAAAGGTTGGGTGAGCCAATTCTGGAAGATTCTGCTAGGAGTCCATAAATCTTCTTGCCATCCAGGTGTTCAATGTTTGTTTGGCAAAGCCTAAGGCGATGCCAATGACAGGTTTTGGTCCGATGAAACTGCTTCCAGCACCCTTCTTTGCAAGGGAGTCAGCAGCTTCATTGCCAGGCCAGTGTGGCCTGGAATCCAGACCAGAGACAATCTGTTTAGTCTTCCTATAGAGGAGAGTCGTTTTTGGCAATTTGCTACCAATTAAGACGTTGCTTGGTAGAAACCAGAAACTACCACCATGGAAGTACAACAAACTTTAATTCATCATAACATAGAAGAGTCAACAATTCACAATGACCCGCTTCTATATTCAAGATTTATAATCAACTTATTAATTATATTTGGAGATACCTGAACTGAGCAAAATTTGTCTCTTCAGATTCGCTAAATGGAAATATCTTCAAGATCACTTCCGAAATTTTTCCAGGTGGGGGTTTATATGAACCCTGATAATTCATCGACATGTAGTTGCTGATTTTCGCATTCGCGTTAGCTTGAGTTGAGGAATGAATTGCAAATTCAGCGGTTTACAATGGCTTCGTTGAATATGAAAGTATCAGGATATCTTGTTGAGCTATGATTTTCTTACCGAATGGCATCTCAACGAAAGCTTGTTCCTAATGTTCCTAGCACGCTAAGCCCATCAGATGCTACTAACGGAACCTTCGCGATACCAAACATCTTCCTGTTTTAGAAAGCGTTATAACAGTAATGTTATACTGTGATGGATCTCCTCTTCTTAGCTACCCGTAAGATCCTGAGGGCCCTAAATTAACCAACCCTGCCTCTAATAGGGAAGATAGACGTCGACTAACTTTCAGTTCTCTTGACCTAGGAGGCTATGTTGTGCAAAGACTTACTTGCCTCATCAAGAGTGAAAATGGATTGACTTTGCCGCAAATTCATGAGCTGCAGAAGGAGAAGAAAGACATGACCCTTCGAGTTGAGTTTTCAACTGAACCATTATTTACCCAAACCAGAGGCACAAATCCCTGCCCAACTGAATCTTATATGCTATCCGATTATAACTGACTCAAAGATACCCTCAAGTGAGAACAAGTGAGAAGGTTCCTGTGGTCATTGAGCTAAGAATGTTGAACATCCGTCAACCCAATCATTAACCAATCAACTGGAATCTTTTCAGTTTGTCATTATGATAGCTTGTGATGCATTGTTTGGAACATTTGGTTTAATAATGAATATTACTCGAGTTTTTTCCCAACACCGAACCGTTATTTTAACACCTCGACACGTGTTTCGATCACCAAGTGATCATCTTCAAGAGGAAGAGTGAAGGTGCTCATTCGACTCAGAAAAATGAATCATGGTCTGTCAACTTCAATATTGCAGATTGTAATTTCAGGCCATTTAATCTCTGACATGACCTCACCGTGGACCGATCAGGTTTTCAGTCTTTGGTGGAGTCAAACTTTTGTCAGCTGCCTGAAAGAACACGCACCAAGGGAAGTAGAATATGTGTGAGCCACAATGAACCCTCGCGGGATGCAGTGCAGGATCGATTGGATTTACTAACTTTGTACCAGGTAGGTTCAACTTATATCGAAGGAATCAAGTTGAGAGATCGTATTGGAGATCATAAGAATAACATCCAGCGGGGAGAATCATGAATATCAGAGCATTTCACTAGTTCGGACTTCCATTGTCTACTATATAAAATGATTTGAAATCCCTGAAACAACTAAAAAAGAAGAATTAAAAATGAGATAGCTGAAAATAATAATTATATTAACCAAAATAAATCTGAAATGGAATAATAGTGAAATAAAATACAAATTAAAATAGAACAATTGAATAAATGAAAGTAAGATGAGGGACTGCCAATGGGTTCGCCACTTTCACCAGTCATAACCAACATATATATGGAGTGGTTTGAAACTCTAGCCATTGAAGAAGCCCATTACGGTTTGAACTGCTTGACCATCCAAAAATACAAACAACATCTCGATATGGCACATTCTCACTAAATTGTACATTCATTTTTAATTCTTCTTTTTTAGTTGTTTCAGGGATTTCAAATCATTTTATATAGTAGACAATGGAAGTCCGAACTAGTGAAATTCATCATGAAACATTGTCAATCCCCTTCAAACAAACAATATCAGAGCATATTTGGACCGAACAACTTAGCATCCAGTAATCTGAAGCTGAACCAATCCATAGAGAGGACGACTGGTACAAAATAAAGTTTAAAGAAGTTGTTTCTAGAGTCTAGATAATCACTTCTGAATATATGTGTCTCGATATATTTCATTTATTAATTTTTGTTGAATTTTGAATCTTTCAAGTCACTGTAATTCTGAACCCCCAAGGTTTAATTAGAAACACTCCTTTCAAAGAGATATTTTATATTAATAACGATATCAAAGTAGTGAGACACTGGAAAACTAACCTCTTTTAACATTCTCTTCGTGTGTTCTAGAATAATCAGCATATGTTGCCAAAAATATTGTCGTCATATATCCAACTAGTGCTAACCTAAAAAATAAAAAGTAATTGTGAGATTATATCTACTTGAATAAACATGATGATTATGTGTCAATCAATATTTGAAAAGAGTATGAAAATACTCACATCACGATATAATCAAAGAGTGTTAAAATATCTATTTTTGAATAGTTGCTGCATTTTAATACATCCAAATGACCTCTCAGCGAATAGTTTTTCAGTAAATTGTTTTCATTTTCAATAGCAGTGGTTTGCATTTCCCTTTCATCTTTCAGTATACTGGAAAGACATCGGAAGCGGTATACAACATTTCTGTTGAAACAGTGGGTATGACTGTTGGATTTCTAAAAAAAAAAAAAAAAATGAAACGAATGCTTTTTTAATGCTTTTCGGACAAACGAGAAACAGATAATTGTAACTATTTTAATTTTGTTAGTAGCTGCGCTTTGGAACCAATTTTAATCGAACAAAGTTGATAATTGAAGTTTAAAATATACAGTGTGGGTCTATAGTGACGGTTGGATTTTGATGGAGAAAGGTGGAAAATAACAGGAAAGTGTTGATGGAATGGCATCCTATTCGACTACCCAGCATACAATTCTTGGGGAAAATGCAGACCTATGCAGAAGAATGTCGACCTACATACATACACCATGAATTTGACATGAAAAACCGTTGTGGTCATCGATAATGCACTATATCATGATCAACCAATCGACAAAATGCCAAAGACATCAAACAAAAAAGCCGATATGCAATCATGGTTATCAGAAAGGAATATTGCATTCGGAAAAAAAATTGAAACCTGAATTATAAGTCCTCATAAACAACTATGACCCAACATTCGAGCGGTATGAAATAAATCAGCTCTTCCTAGTGGCAAATAACAACGTTGTACTTTTACCGCCATATTATCCGGATTTGAATCCAATTGAGTTGGTTTCGGCTGGACTGAAAGATTACGTGGCAAATGAAAATGTCACTCTCATTTTTAACGATGTCATGCAATATTGCGACGATTTTTTTGAACAGGTTTCCTCCGAGCAATGGAAATCTCATTGTGAACGAGCAATGAAATTGGAGGACGATTTCATGTTGCGAAGCAAATGAAATCCCACTAAGGTACCGTAGACAATATATGAGTCTCTCTTATGCTACTTCTATTGCAACCAAACCAACACATTGTACATATAATAATGTTTTTTCAAGTCGTTTCAAACGAAATTTCACGGGACATCCAAGGACTGACCCTCCTTTTTACGAAAGGATAAACAAATATTCAGAACAATTAAGGTATGCACTTCCTCCATTATTTTCCAACTCCATAACTACCCCTTCTCCTTGGATGATCAATCCCCCAATATGTGACTCCTCTTTATCCTGTTTCACAAAAAATGATACTCTCCCCCAAACTCTACTGAACTTATTCAAACAAAAACTAACCCTTTATGAGAACCATGTAATTCTGTACACCGATGCTTCAAAAACAGATCAGGGAGTTGGGTCAGCTGTTGTATCGCCGGACGAAACATTAAAATACAAGCTTCCCCAAGCCACATGTATATACACAGCTGAACTATTCGCAATACTACAAACATTATTATTTCTGAAAAATCATCCCGCTGATAGATTTCTAATTGTAACAGACTCTTTGAGTGCTATTAATGGTACGCAACAGTTATATACAGACAATCCCATAATATTACTAATAAAAAATGAACTACATAGAATCGAAGAGTTAGGGAAAAAAGTTATATTATTATGGGTCCCATCGCATATTGGAATCGCTGGTAATGAGAAGGCAGATATTGCAGCCAAAGAAGCGATAGACGATCATAGGTTCAGGATAATCACCAAAATAACTCCGTCTGATACGAAAAGATACATCAAGAATATGATAATAAACGAGTGGCAGAGGGAATGGCTCCAGACGAATTCGAAACTAAACGAAATGAAGCCATCCGTTAAACCCTGGTCACACATACCAAAAACCAGAAAACACCAGGTAATCCTCTGTCGACTTCGTATTGGACATACCAAATTTTTGCACGATTTTCTATTATCACGCGAGGAACAAACTATCTGTGATATATGTGATACAGCAGTAACTGTAAAACACGTTCTTCAAATTTGTCCCAAGTATCAGGAAGCAAGAATAGAATTCGGAATACCGAAAGAACTACGAGAAACTCTTAGTGACACTTGCAGTATTGAAAATGTCATGTCATTCTTTACAAATATTAATATGTATCATTTAATTTGAACACAATAATCATGTAATGTGAAATGTAACGTAGCGCTAATAACCCTAGTGGTTGATGCGCTTATCTTGAAAAAAAAAGAAAAATCTCGCGGAATGTGTGGGTTACACCTAAGTATGAAAAATACCTGTACTGTGCTTTCCCATCTATTTAGCCGGATTATAAATCATATAGATACATCTCAAATACATAAAATGGATATGCTTAATAAATACAATGAGTGAAACCGGAGGGCAGTACAATTCTAATGGATTTAGTGAGTTGTTGGCCGGGGTGCTAGGAAGAGCTGTTTTTCAAATTTAAAATATATTGATAGGTGAATGATAATAATGGTGAACAGTATTCATTTAACAAACGGATTGGGTTTCTTTGTATATAACTTTTCAAGGCAGTATTGAATTTTCTTATATCATTTATAGTTTTCAGGTTTTCAAGGAGAAGGTTGAAACATTTTGGGCCATAATAAATGAGACTTCTTCGGGAATGGGTTTTCCTGAAAAGTGGAATTTGTAATCTGTTTAAAAATCTGTTTTTCCGTTAATCAGCTGCCGCCCCCATACGAACGACAACTCTCAGAAGTTGAGAAACTTGTGCGAGCTAAGGACTAACGAGGTCTTACCTTTTAACGTGTGATTCCTAATGTGATTATACTTGACCTTGTTATATCATTTTCAATATTTTTGAATTTACCTATGTTTAAGTAGATCCAGATAATGCTTCTGTAAATGTATAAAAAATGTATATTCATTATCGATGTATTGTTGTAGAGTAACATGGTTGAAAATCATTTTTCTTTTTTGTAAATAATTTTTAGTGAAGAATTTTGAGCAATTTTTAGAGGGTCGAGAATATTATTGAAGGCGCTGTCCCATGCTGTAATGCAGTAACTTAGGACAGATTCAGCTAAACTGTAATATAGAGTTATTTGATTATTTTTGGATACGATGTCCCTCAGATTGTAAAATTCATTCATTAGCAATCGCATTCTTTTGATCAAGCGATTAACATGTTCGTCCCACCTCATGTGTTGGTCGAGAAAAACTCCTAAGTATTTGATCGACGACGTCTTTGTTATTTCGGGGCATTGGCACTGTAGACTTGAGCAATCTGGTTTATGAATTTTGATTGTTTCTTTGTTGGATTGATCGTTACATCTAAGGGAAAAGGTAATGAATTTTGTTTTTTGTATATTAATACTCAATTTGTTATTATTTAGCCAGCCAGTGTCATCGGCTTAACATATGATGTGATCTAGAAAATTATTAATGCAGCAAATATTGTTTATATATACAAGAAACAGTATTGGACCCAATACTGTACCTTGAGGCACACCAATGGATAGGATTGAGGGTGAACTTTGGTTTTTACCGATTTTAACTTCTTGCGTTCTACCACTGAGATAGTTTTGAAGAAGTTGTAGTGATACTCCACTAATAGCATATATTTCAAGTTTTTTAAACAGTGTATCACGAGACACAGTGTCAAATGCTTTGGTCAAGTCCAAAAAAATCGCTAAACATTTAGATGATTTGTCAAGAGGAATTATAATTTCATTTGTTAGATCTGAGATAGCATTTTTAGTATTAGATTTCTGTATAAAGCCATATTGGCGTTGTGTTATAACATGATGCTCCATGAAAAATGTTATGATGTAGGGGTGGATTTTTTTTAGGATTTCTGTAGTAAGTCCGTCTGGACCTGGAGAGGACTTATTCTTAAGCTTGGATATAAGTATGATTATTTCATTTACAGTTACAGGTTCGAAAAATATAGATGCGTTTACGTGGACGTCATCAAGGAAATTGTCAGGTAGATTTGAGTATTCAATTTTTTCAGCCATTTCAGTGCCAATGTTAGTGAAAAAGTTAGCCTTTTTTCATTTTCTATCACATTTTCTCCATGCTCATTTTGTATGATTTTATTTTCTAAGGATTCTTCATTTGTTTTATTACAAATAATTTCATTTATGAATTCCCATTGTTTTTTTGAGATTACCTTGTATACTTCTTAGTTCATTTTTGTAATAATTATTTTTTGCGAGTTTTATTAATTTATTAACCTTGTTTCGGTATTCTTTCTTGTAGGGGTGCGACAGCTGGTTAACGGAAAAACATATTTTGAACAGATTTAAACAGAATAAATGACAAAAAACTTGCACACGACGTCCGAGTAGGATGGTAATTTTGATTTCCATTTGAGACACAAACAGTGTATTACTTGCTTAATGGTATTCATTGGTAAAATATAACTGGTCTCATAGTTACCTGAATTATTTTCCAGCTGTCGGAGCCATTATTTTGGGGTTCTAAGCTGACGTGAAGTCTGCAAAATAGATTGCCACTTTTCTTGCATTTTGGAAAACTATCTGCCGCGTAAATAGATGGAACATTTTGTCTTTCGTGATCTGAGAAAAAATAATACGGTTAGGTTATTTATTACCTATGAACACGATAATTTCTGTAAAGATTGTTGAAGTGTAATCCCAGTACCAAATAACAGGCTCTAAATAGCAACAAATAAAAAGAGAAATATTTGCTCAATTTGAACCTCAGTCAACTTGTGAGAAACAAAAACAGCATAAGAAAATCAGAGTAATACTGTTGCATTATGCAACAGTAATACTCTGATTGGCATTTTCGTTTGTTTACTATAACGTGACGTAATTCGCTTCGATTGGCGTTCAACATATCATTTCAGCTTGTCGTATTTTGTAGTTTTATTTAATAAAAATATCATCAATCTTGCTAATAATAATAATAAAATAAATGCGTGTTTTGTGATCCATTAGTAGAGTTTCATTGGTAATTTATATTTACTGTCATCATGATTAGGCGTATTATCGTTGCACATTTTTTTTTAATGAAAATGTGCTACATACCAACTATTTTTGAAATATCACCAAAACACTCACCTGTTATGTGACAGTGGCTATGGACAAGTCCAAGCCACAGAGAGACAGTGATGAGAATACTGATATAATCCATTTCATCGACTAACTAGGAACTAAAAACTTCACGCATATTGGTTCTGAAAGTAAAAAATATTTATAAGGAAAATTGTTCGGTATCAATAATAATGTAAACAACAAAAACGCTTTTGTTATCCAAGAACATGTATTTAGGAGGAAGGACATCATGCAATGTTAATGTTTTACTTGGAAAACGACATTACTCTTATTCTTAGAATTTAAATTGGTTGGAATGGAGAATTTTCACTATACGAGGGATATATATTCAACGAAAGTCATTTTTTGTGGAGGAAAAAAATCAGTTTTTTATCGACCTTTTTTGGGTAATTGTAATTGTTCTTGTGGTAAAAGTTACATTGGTGAAACCTCAAGATCATTGAAAGTGCGTGAGAATGAACATCGAGATTATATAAAAAATAGACAATTGACAGGATCAAAATTATCAGAACACATTTTAAAATCAGACGGTGAACATCGGGTGGAATGGAATAGGACAAGAAAGATTACCAATGAGCCTCATTCTAAGAGACGTAAGCTAAAAGAATCAGCGTATATTCTCATGTCTGGAGAGAATTGTATCTCGAATAGCTCCTTAGAAATAGACCGTACTTGGCTACCCATCTTGAAGAAAACTTTGGATAGTGGCGAAATGGCAACAAACTGATATCGGAGAGTACCTTGTATTACATCGAATGTTTCAGTTGTCAATCAACAACATTGACATAATTTCATATTTCAAAACTTCTTTGACATCTGTCGAAGAAGTAAAGAAATAAGCTATCAAAAAAGGAATAACTACGTATATATTCGAATTTTTTTATCCATTTCTGAAGACGGAGGCAGATTTTGGCCTGCGAAACGTAAAAGATAAGTATTATTTCTTAATAATTTTTTTGATAGGCAAAATTGTTAAATACGACAAGTTACTGATAAATAGAAGATTTTTCTTTGTGAAAAATACTTTGATTCTTACGCAGTAACTTATCGGGGTAAACTAAAAAGTTTGCCCTTCTACACTTGTATAAAGTTCTCCATTATAATTTTTATATTTTTTCAGATTATGGAAGGTAACAATTACCCAAAAAAGGTCGATAAAAAACGAGGGATATGTATTTTTATCCATATTTTACAATCAACTGAGACTTAATAAGTTTCATTGGACTTCAATATCTCTAAAACCAGTTGTGTTTAAATGGGTGATAATGGGTCAAATGGGTGAGAATAAGTCAAATTGGTGGGGATTTGGAGACTTGTTAGCTAACTCGATAGAAATAAGCCTTTTCAATTGTAGAATATTTTGAAAATTGAAATTTTTCATGCCTTCACTTGAAAAGATAACCAAAAAAATGTGAGCTATCGAAATGAGGATTGTGTGTACATACTGACTGGAACTAAATTAATAATTTCTTTTGAACATTGAATCTCGTTTTACTATAAACAAATATCCAAATAGGGCTCTTTATTAGACAGGATGTACTTGTACTGCAGAGGTCTTCTTTCAGTAGCAGAATACAAGATTTTCCCCGAGGGACCTCAGATTAACCCAATCCTTTTTTGAAGCACAGGAACGAAGGAGGCTCACTAAAAACCCACATTTTTCCATCACGGAACCGGTCAGGATGGCGTGTATTTCTGATGAATGAAGTGCATTTATCCTACCGACTGCGCCATATACGTTTAGAAAAGACTTTATGTTTTGACATTGATAGAGTGAACTCAGTCAACATGTTGAATAATAATGATATTATTATAATTAATGATATCTAATAATTTTTAGTTTTTCGATGAAAAACTGAGGTGATTTCCAGTGGGTTATTTTGGATGAATTGTTTTTAAAAATTCCTTTTTTCTTGAGATCTCAATTCACTGGACAACATACCTATTGTTGTATTTTGGGGCATTGTGCAAGAAATGTTCAGTAACATTGGCAAATTTATATTTTGGAATAACCAGAACAGTACTGCTGACGTCAGAAAATATTTTTAACCCGTGATGCACGTATTCAAGTTTTCGAAACATTAATACTTTGGATTTGTTCGTAAGCAGACGTGAGGTTCTGAGTACTTCCCTCAAACTTCCTCAAAACATAAGATCTGATGCAATTGATCTCTGCGAAACTCATTCAAATTAGGTGACAATGCAGTGGCTGTTCTGAAATATTCGAAGAGAGTTCTATAGATAGCAATCGCTGATAGATCGAAAACATCATCTATGAAATAGAACGGTTCCAATGAGAAAATAGAGGATGAACTAGATCGTGATGATAGCAAATATCACATTGAATGTAAATGACTAATGGTGTACAATTATTCAAACATGAAGACGAAAAAGAGCATGAAAATTGGTCGAAACGTATGTAAAACAACGTATTTTGGAATGTCATTGCTGAATATTTCGCTGCCCCCATTACCTACCTTCGAACGGTAACTCCATAACACGTAACGCTAGTTGCACACACACCGATTCTGGACGGCCGACTTTGTACCGGTCGTCCAAATTCCAATAGTGAACCACATGTGGGAACGGGTCCTTGCACACACGCCGACCGGTGATCGTCGCCGGTAAAATACCCGTGAGCAGCCGTCCACTGCCACTGTATCGCCGGCAGTACCGGGAAGTAGTGGCGTACATGACTAAATACACTCTTGCATACTTCACCGGTTTTTTACCGACCATTCCAGTCTGGAATGCTCGCTGAAATTGTAGTTACTACGCATCAACTTCGTTCTGGTAGTGCGTGCTAATTACGACAACAAAGCAACTGATTGTTTGACCGATAAGAATCCGGTGAGTGTGCAAGCACCCGCTACCAATAAAATATCGGCCGACTTTGTACCGGTCGTCCAAATTCCAATAGTGAACCACATGAGGGAACGGGACCTTGCACACATGCCTACCAGTGATCGGCGTCGATCACACCAGTGAGTCTGCAAGCACCCGCTACCAATAAAATATCGGCCGATTTTATACTGGCCGTCCAAAATCGGTGTGTGTGCAACCAGCGTATCTCCTCGATACTTTCGAATATGAACAAACAATAAACAATCATTACATATTATATGCAGATGACCTTGTTCATCTTGGCAAGATCCACGTCGGGAAAGGTAGCTTGTAGTATCCTTCAAAGCACGATGGACGTTGTTCACAATTGGTGTTTGAGGGAGCAGATGTCTGTCAACCCCAGTAAAACTGTGATAATCCCCTTCACCAGGAGGAGAAAATCAGACAATCTAACGGCACTTTCCCTCAATGGTGAGGTCATTCCACTTGGAACGGAGGTGAAATATCTTGGCATTGTCCTTGATAAAAAAGTCACCTGTAACGCTCACTTGAAAGAAGTTTAATACAAAGCCAGACTGTCCCTATGGACATGTCGAAGGATTTGTGGTAAGTCTTGGGGTTTAGGTCCCAAACAAATCCATTGAGTTTATGTGATGATTGACAGACCAATGATCACTTATGGTCACTGAGGATACACTACAAAACATACTTTTGTCTATTTTCCACGCTATTTCTTTATTTTGAATAGTTTTGAAAATGGTGTAATAGCCGAAACTAGTCACAATTAAGAAATAGCGTGGAAAATAGACAAAAGTGTGTTTTTGTAGTGTATCCTCAGTGAACATGAATTTCCACAAAATAAACAAGTCGTCAATCAAAGAACTGATCACTTATGGTGCAATTGCCTTCTAAATCTACCTCCTCTCCACATTTTTCTGGAGAGGAGGCTAGATGGACTGCATATAGACTTGTGAGTAGGGAAACAAGAGGCATACGAAGTAATTCAAGGTCAAGAACTGTAAATAAAAATAAATATATCTCCCGTGGTTTGGATTTAAAACATCACGGTGAACATCCCAGCAAATTTTCGATACGCTATTGTGAATGTATCAAAATTGGAGACCCGTTATACCTAATTGTGAATTTGTCAAAATTATGGGATCCGACACCACACACATCACACTAGCTAAAATGTTTATTCCAAATTTTTTTTCTAATGAAGGTCTTGGTGCAAATTTCCCGTATACGTTTTCGGGGAGCTGAATTTTCAGAAAAATATCTACGAGTAATCTCTCTCTAGGCGAAATTGGAAAATTTATTGGAGTTCTTACTAACTAGCAGATTCAAAAGTTGCTGTGGTAGGAATATAGGCAGATTGATTTGTTTTCACTACTTT